TAATAATAATAATAATAATAATAATAATAATTCCCACACAGCACTAACTGCCCTCCCTTGCTTTAAGAACTGTAAAAGGCTGGATGGCCATCTGTCAGGGATGCTTTGATTGGGAGTTCCTGCATAGCAGGGGGTTGGACTGGATGGCCCTTGTGGTCTCTTCCAACTCTATGATTCTATGATTCTATGAAAACGGATCCTTGTCTGTACGTTTGTTGTTAAACAATGTCAAGTTGATCTCGACTCATGTTGACCCTGTGGATGAGATGTCTCCAAGAGTCCCTGTCCTCTACTGCTTAGGTCCTGTAAATTCATACCCGTGACCTCCTTAATTGAGTCTATCCATTGAGCATGTGGTCTTCCTCTCTTTCTACTACCCTCCACCTTTCCTAGCATTAATGTCCTTTCCAGTGAGTCGCCTTCTCATGATGGGGCCCTTGGCACCCTTCCTCTTCCCTGCTGCACCGAGCCCTTGGAAATGTCCTTCTGATTTCCTGACTGCAGTCTCCATAATGAGTAATGTTTGATCCAAGGTAAGAGAATCCTTTAACTGCTTCAATTTCCTCACTTCCTAGGTTGAATTTAGGTTGACCCTCTGTGGTCATTATTTTTGTTTTCTTTATATCTAGCAATAAGCCTGTCTTTCCACTTTTTTCCTTGATCTTCCATAACAACAAAACAACTATTATTATTATTATTATTATTATTATTATTATTATTATTATTCCATTCTGATGATGGTTTATCTGTTTACACAGAGTGACAGCCAGCATGGCATAGTGCAGGGGTAGGCAACCTTTCCCCTTTAAGGGCTGAGGGACTTCAGCTCCCAGAAGCCTCAGCCATGTTGGCCAATAGCTCCTGGGATTCTGGGAGCTGAAGTCCCTCGGCCCTTAAAGGGGAAAGGTTGCCTACCCCTGGCATAGTGGCTTGAGTGTTGGACTACAACTTTGGAAACCAGAGTTCAAGTCCCAACTCAGTTATGAAACCCACTGCATGATATTGGAAAAGTCACACTCTCTCAGCCTCAGAAGATGGCAAAGGCAAACCCCTCCTGAACAAGTCTTGCCAAGAAAACCCTGTGATGGGGCTTTGGCCTTTTGTTGCTGTTAACCACACTTGAGTTGATCTCGACCCATGGCAACCCTGTATATGAGACATCTCCAAGACTCCCTGTCCTCCACTGCTCTGCTCAATTCCTGCAAATTCATACCCGTGGCCTCCTTAATAAAGTCCATCCATCTAGCAAACCGATGTCTTCTCTTTCTACTTCCCTCCACCTTGCCTAGCATTATTGTCTTTTCTAATGAGTTATGCTTTCTCATATGACCAATGCAAGACAGCCTCAGTTTTGTCATCTTGGCTTCCATGAAGATTTCTGGCTTGATCTGTTCTAGGACCATTTATTTGTCTTCTTGGCTGTCCACGGTTTCTGCAGCACTCTTCTCCAGCACCACATCTTGAATGAATTTTCTTCCTATCTTCTTTCTTAACTATCCAGTTCTCACATCCGTACATGGTAACAGGGATACAATGGCTTATACAATTCTAACTTTTGTGTTTAGTTGTATATCTTTGCCTTTTAAGATCTTTTCTAGTTCTTTCATAGCAGCTCTCCACATTCTTAATTTTTCTCTGATTTCCTGGCTGCAGTCTCTGTTCCTGTGATCCCTGGTATGAGAACTCTTTTGCTATTTCTATTTCTTCGTCTTTCTTCCTGTTTTCCTTTTTAACTGTCCAGCTCCCATATCCCATAATGGTGATGGGAAATACATTGGCTTGTATGATTAGGGTCACCATAAGTCAGAAACAACTGGGAGGCACACAACAATAAAAACATGTATCCCCTCCTAGGGTGTATTTTATTATTATTTTGAATATTTATACCCCGCTCTTCAGCTACAAAGGCTCAGAGAGCAGCTTACAAATGGTTAATTAGATGGTTCCTTGCCCTCAGGCTTACAATCTAAAAAGACATGACACAAAAGAAGGGAATGGCAGAGGGAAGGGGATCATGTCCAGCAGTGCTTCTCTCCCTCTGAGGCCTGGACCATGGCAACCTTTCCCCTTTAAGGGTGGAGGGACTTCATCTCCCAGAACCCCAGGAGCTATTGGCCCAACATGGCTGAGGCTTCTGGGAGCTGAAGTCCCTCGGCTCTTAAAGGGGAAAGGTTGCCTACCCCTGGACTAGAGGGAGGGCTCTCCTTCTTAATTTAGGCTAGGCCCAATGGAGCTGGCCTGCATCCCAGGCCATTCTTTAAAAGCTTTCTGTTTTGAATGTCTGTCTGAAAAGGAAGAATGGCAGAACGCCATCAAGGAAGGGGCCATTCTGGTCTCCCTGGAAAGGGAGTTCCAGAGTCCAGGACAGGCCTGCACCACATATGACCCGGCAAAGGATTTTGGATGGCCCGCTAGGATGTGGAACAACTTCAATGCTCCTCCGCCACTTGGCCTCCTCCTGAGGAGAGGGCCATACAGAAAAGGAGGAGGAAGAGCAAACACTTACCCTGCAAGGCTCCTCTGCCACCTGGCTTTTTCCTGAGAAGGCCAGGTGGTGGAGGAAGAGGATAGGCGAACACTCACCATGCAAGGCTACTCCACTGCTTGGTTTTCTCCCAGGGAGAAGGCTGGGTGGAGTTGGAGGACAGGCAAATGCTTGCCCCTCAAGGCCCCTCCACTGCCTGGCTTTCTCCTAAGGAGAAGGACAGGTGGAGGAGGATGGGCAAAGCTCGCCCTGCAAGGCTCTTCCTCTGCCTGTCTTTCAGCTAAGAAGGCTGGGTGGCAGAGAAGGAAGAGGGGCAAACGCTCACCTGTCAAGGCTTCTCCATCACTCTGCTTTCTCCTGAGAAGAGGAGGAGGACAGGAAAAGCTCCCTTGCTGTTCAGCTTTCTCTTGAGGAGAGGGCCAGGCAAACAAGAGTGGCTCAAAGACGTTTAGCCTAATTTTGGGCCCCCACTGCCAAGTTGCGCAGGCCTGGTCTACAGAAAAGGCCTTCTCACTTTTCCCCCAACCATATT